ACCTCCTCTAATAATTTAGCCATTTGATTTTCTTTTAGTCTTGCCCTTAATATTCCTACCTAATTCCTTGCTTGTCATTTTAAATAGCAATCATTTCCTTGACCTTATAAATTACCTCATCCTAGCCACATTAGTCATTCAAGCATCTACAATCTACAACTAACCAAAATTAACATACTAATGACTCAACCTTCAATTTATATTTTCATTTACACCAAAACAATATTTATTAATTAACTTATATACATACCTAAAATGCCTAACGTGTTATGTATATACTAAAAAATCAAGCTAAGCCATACATGATTTCTCATACTCACTAACCTATAGCCAAAGCACACAAAATGGCAAGTCCGTCACTTGTCTCGACATTGACTCATCATTTGTCTTCATCATTTCCTACACCATAAGAGAACAATAATGAGCAAGAGGATGCTCGGTAAGTATAATTCATGCAATCCATATGATGTTCTTTATGCATGAATACACATGATGCATCTTTCATAAAATCCTTTTCATGTCTTTGAAACCATTTTCCTTTTACCTTGTTCTTTTTTTGGGTACACCCTTTCCTTTATCATTTCTTTGGTTAGGGCCTTCACCAAATCCTCTAATCTGTCAAGGCCTTCACTAAATCCCTCAACTATTGAGGCCTTTATTGAATCCCTCGATGAAGAAATGTCATTGTCATGAAAAACTATGAAAATCATAAAAACTTTTTTCCTTTTTCCTTTCATAAAAACCATTTTCTTTTTTCTTTCATCAAAATCATGAATAAAATTCCTCTTTCATGATAATGACGTGTAATCCGCATTTTTAAATGAAATGCAATGCCATGAACATTGCTCTATCATGCATACCTTTTGAAATTTCTCAAGAACATGTGCACACATGATGTATCCAAACACATAAGTTTGCATAATAAAAGACCCAAGATAGCCCAACCAATCATCTCACATAATAAAAGTATTTAAATTAGTAAACTTTTAGTTTACTATAACATTTGTTTCAATCATTCGAGTGTTTGTAATAAAGACCAAAAGAGAAAGTAGATAATTTTTCAATACATGTTTTCTATCCAATGTAATAATTATAATATATAAGTATTTAATATTTTTCACATTTACTATCTTGGTATGATATCCATTTAGATGATTATCTTTGAAATTCAGCAAATTTCTATGAGAATTTAAAGAGAATAGTGCATCATTTATAATAAAATGTGTTATTTTAGGTAAAACTATGTTTGCCCTTTTAGAGTATTTAAAATTTATCCTTTCAAGTAATAATATATCGCTATTATGGAACCTTTACAATTTGTCTCTTCAAGTAATAACATATTCATTTTTTCGAGCTTTTAAAATTAATCCCTTCAAGTAATACTATATTCATTCTTCTAGAGCCTTCAAAATCTATCCCTTTATATAATAATATATTTACTCTTCTAGAGATTTTCTATTAGATCAATACTATCAAATATAGTATTAATAAAAAATAAATAATTAAAAAAATAAAAAAAATGAATATATTCTTCATAAACACAATATATGTGTATGTCCGTGTGTATTGCAAAATAAATTTGTATCTATCACTATGCAATAAAAATTATAAAAAACTAATATAAAACATCTTATTTATAAATAGAAAAGTTAACAAGTTATTACTTTCAATTACTATCATTTCGATATATAAAATTGACTTTTATACTTTACTCTCTTTTATTTTCGTTCAACTTACATTTGATAAGGCTCAAAAAGGTACTTTAGTGTACGGCAGGTACGTGATCAATGTCCCTTCATGCCACACCTATAATATTTATTTTCGAATACCGACTTGATCTGTTTTTATTTTTTTCATAGTTTATTCATTTTTTAGTGGTGAGGTGTATTATTATAGTAATCACAATTATAATGATAATTATTTTGACCACAACTATGGCTATATACATGACCATATCCACGTCTATGGCCATGACCACGTTCCCATCCATGCTTACAATTATTATAAGTTTTCATGTTCATTTCGGAGAATAAAGTAAACCCAATTGGACGAGATTCATAATTTTTTATCAATAACTCATTATTTTTTTTAGCAACAAAAAAGTATGAAATCAATTCAAAATATTTAAAAAAAAAAAAAAATTCTTGTTATTACTCGCTATAGGAGCATACTCGAGGCATGAAAAGTAGATAATTTTTTCTCAATATCAAGCACGATGATCAATCATTCTTGCTCGAAATGTCAAAGGCTATAAAATCAAGTTTTGTAAGGTTTGATATGATAAAAATTCTATAATGCAAGATATAATAATAATTTTAAAAAATAATAACAAATATAATAATAAAATTTAAACTTTTCAAACAACATAGATTAAATCATTAGATTTTCTATATTAGATCAGTCAAGTTTTTCAAAAATATACTCTATATATCATTAGATTTAAAATAAAAAATAAATTAAATACATACCTCTTAATGATGAAGATAATTTAGATCTTTTAATAGAACACTCTTGTAGAGAAACAATCGAATTATTAAAATAAGTGATTAAGTCTTTTGGTAGATACATATATCATGGTCTATTATCTTAGTTACTTAGAGCTTCATACTAATACATGTTATAAAAAAAAAAATGATAACCATAATAGAATTGAAAACAAAAATCATAGAAAAATGATTTTACTATAAAGTAAAGTACATACAAGTGATAGTAATTCAAACAACTCTCTCAACTCAACAACAAAAATACTACATCAACTAATGAACAATCAATCTTATTTATAGGCTTTAGGATTAAGGAAAAAAAATTAGAAAAAGCTAGAAAAAGGACATGAAAGGTTGCACTAACCTTTCAATTATTATGTCACCATGCATGATAATGGTGAATTAAATCTCATTAAACAATATGATTAGTAGTGAGAATAAGAATGGTCATGGGCATTCATTATTTCACAACAAACACTTAAATTTAACACCAAAAAAAAAATTACAAGATGGTAGAGAGAATATGGGATTGAAAGATGCATAACTAAAACTTACAATATTTTCCTTAATTGTAGGAAATCAGATTGATTTTATTGATAAAAAAATTCAATGAAAAATTAAAGCTTGAATAGATAGTATATTTATTATCTCAAATGATTTTTGGATGAAGTAAACAATTTCATGATAAAGATAATATATATATATATATATATATATATATATATATATATATATATATATATATATATATAGATTAGAAATATTATTCTTTATTTTGAAACAAACAAAAATCAATTTTAAAATCGTGCATAAAAAAAAATTAAATTTCATTACTTTGCATAGGTTTTGTCTTAGGGAAATTATAGACCCCCCCCCCCCCCCCCCCCCAAAAAAAAAAAATCATATAAGAGCCTTTTTTCAACTCAAGGTTTTTCTATTTTAACCTCAAATATATCTTTATTAAAATTCAATCAAATATTTATAATGCTAGAATTCCATTCATTTTTTATGCGTGAGCATCAATAAAGTGTGAACCAACAAGTTGTTGGTCCAATAATAAACAAACGAGTCTTCGAATAAATTACTTATCGTTGTATAGGATTTGAATCCTAGAGTCATACTTGATGAGAGGGTTTAAACCTTGTCGCTTCGTTTCGAATAAAATTAATCATATCTTCAATGTAGAATGAGAAAATTGATATCGTACTTGTTGGAATGGGTCAAATCTTATTTCTCCCATTTCGAACATGATTAGTCTTATCTTTGATGTAAAATGAGCATATGCAAGGGGAAAAAAACAAACTATAGAGTGTGAAAAAGTTTTGATGTAATAATTGATGGTGAAAGAGGTTTTCTCATTTTAGCAATTTTGATCCTTTAAATTTAAACCATGATAATTTTTGAATTATTAATAATAATTATTATTTTATAATTACTATTTTTGAAGTAAAAAAAAATTAAGAAATCAATTTAAAAAATATATTATGAGTTAAGAAAAAAAAATTGTTGATTTTTCAGCTCTCCTAAAATACAAGTGACTAACTTTAAATGCTATCAATTCTTAATCAATCGTTTTAATATGCTACTCATTTCTTTTATTTTAACATATTAATATTTTTTGAACTTATTTTTTATTTATTTTAGTTCTAACATGATTTCATTTAAAAAAAAAATTTCTAGCGTCATCTATATCATGATCTTAATTATTAACATGAGACTTGCATTTTAATCAAGTCTTTTCACACAAAAATTGCAATCGGACGCTATTTTATTACCATGTTCAGAACACAAGAAGAGTAAATTATAAATTAGTACCTCTAGTTTTGTGAAACAAATCAATTAATTCTTTTCGTTTCAAAAACTAGTTATATAGTTCTTTCACTATTTTTTAAATTTATTTAATTATTAAAAAAAATAGAAAAAAATAAAAAATTAGTAAAAATATAAAAAATTGATGAAAAAAAAGATATTTTATAGCATAAAAATATTAAATTAATCATGATCAACACCAGTTAAGAAGATTAAATAATTAGATTTCGAAACTAGATGGGTTAATTAATTTCTTAAAACGAAAGGGACTAATTTGTAATTTACTCAATACAAGGAAACGGAAACCTTTACAACTATAACATTAAAAATAAATAAATAATAAAAAACCTCAACTCTCCAGTAGATTGCACGATAATTCAAGATCCCAATTGAGTGGAAAGTTAATACTACCAAAATGATGGGTAGCTAGTGATCTCATGTATTATATATCATCAACAATATAATGATCTGGGCCTACAGTCAAAATTACCAGGCCCATCCTTCACATCTGTCTGATATAACCCATCAGAACCATACAGTTATATATATATATATATTGATTGATTGATAATTCCCCTACCGAAACACCCCACCATCATCAAATCATCATCTTTCACCTTCAATCACCTTATCACCATCCTCATGTGAACAATTGAGCAAGGCTAACTTCAAAGCCCATGAATACTAAGCCCATCATTAAAACAACCACTATCTGGGCCTGCCCAAACTAGTTCCAGGCCCACCACTCATCTGATTAATAAACCCACCACCAGAACCGTACACGAACCCACTAAACGCGTCCACTCCAACCCCACTCCCATCACAAGGAGCGTCCTTGTCACGGGGCACAGTATTCTTCTCTCCTTCCATCTCTCTAAACCTCTGCAGATAAATCTTGAGGGGCTCCACGTATTCCTCAAAGCCCAAGGTAGTCATGGCCCATAAGAGATCATCACCGTTGATTGTCTTTCTCTTCTCTCGCTGGCACTTATCAGAGGCCTCTCCTGTAATGAAGCTGATGAGCTCCGACACACATTCTTGTACTGTTTCTTTGGCATCTTTGGAGATTTTAGCGTTTGCTGGTAGTGCTTTTTTCATGATCCTGCTAACGTTGGCTATTGGTAAGAAACGGTCTTGCTCTCTTGGGGATAACATCTCGTTGGTGGTTGAGGGGTTTTGTCCTCCAGAGTCGTTGTCTGAGTCTGCCATGATCAACTCAAGATTAATTACTCTAATATGTTATTGCTAGCTAGCGAGGGTTAAAGGGTACTCAATTTCTTTTACTGTTTGTTTACTAATTAGCAGGTGAAGAGGGCGGTCTTGACTTTTGCTTTGGGGATTAATTAAGGTGATAAGGTGGTTACAGGGTTTGGACTGCTACTTAATTAAGAAGGATGAAGAGACAGAGACAGTAATTAAGGATTTTTTGGGTGTAAAAATGGACCCAGGAGGAGGAAGTCAAGTAGCTAGCAAGAGAAATAAATTCGAGTTGATGGAAGAGATAAAATTGGAGATTTGAAGCTATAGTTTTGGTTTTTGATCAGTTGTTAAAATGGAGAAGTTAATTTGTAGTAGTGGATGCAGGATTAACAAGAATTAATTAATACTAATAAATGATCAGGCTCAGAGAGTATTAAGCAGAATTTAACTGTAGAAATCCAAAAAGCAAGAAGAAAAATTAAAATATTGAAAGATTAGAGACAAGAATTAAGGAGATATATTTAAGAGAAAACTATGTAAGGAGTGATGAAGAGAAACCTGCGGCACTCGATGATGATGGATGAATGCATGCATTCATATATTAAACTACTCAGCTCCAAATTCAGAGCATGAACAGAGCACAGAAGATGATGAATGTATAACAAAAGAAGAAGAAGAAGAAGAGTTTTAGGGTCTGGAAATAAGCATTCAAGAAAAAAAAAAAAAAAAAAAGATTCGGAGCTTAAAATCCTTTAAAAAATTAAAACTTGCTTAATTGCTTATTGGAAATTCAAGGGGGAGAGAGAGAGAGAGAGAGAGAGAGAGAGGAATTTTTTGGAAGTGAATGAGTTGGATCAATTGGATGGAATAAACGCATTAAATAAGGTCCATTGTTAGTGACACGTGGGTGTCTCTGGACCATTTTTGTCGATAAGTGCTGTGTTTAGTGCGGACAGATTTCAGGCCACACGATTGGTTGGAATGAATCCTTTTTGCACCGTTGATATGATATCTAACACGTGATTGTATCCGACGTGGATTCTCTTTCAAACCATGGTAACCTGCCCTATAGGCAAGGAGTGAATAAATGTAGCCAAGATGTACGTGGGTCACCGACCCTTGGATTATGACTCTTCATATAGTTTATTTGTTTTCGGCCATCTCTTTCATTGAAGTTTTAGTTTAAGAGTTCATTATAACCTAGTCCCTATAGGTTACCAAAACTAATTAACTAGTCTTCATAGTTTCATAAACTATAATTGAATCCCTTTTTTTTCTGTAGGAAAAATTTGATGTGGAAAGAAGATGTTTTTTTTGAAAAAAATATATATATTAAATGGAGAAGGGTTAGTGCTAGTGAAGAAACTATTCGATTATTTTTTATACCATATGATTAATTAGTTATTTTCGGTAAATTATAAGGACTACGTTTTAATTAACTCTAATTTAAATACATCTTTCTTTCTCTTTAAGTTTGTAGCATTTCTTTTCTTTTTTCTTTTTTTTAATGAAACAAAATTTTAAAGTAAAGAGGATTCAAGTGGATTAATGAAGCAAATTTTACTAAATTTTTTTAAAAAAAGGATGAAAATATATCTAGTCTTTTAATCACTTTTGAGTGAATATTCTTAAAAAAACTCTTCAAGAAAATTATATTCTTACTTTTGAGTCAAATTACGAAATTTATAAAATAAAATTAAGTAAAATATAACAAACTCTTTTAAGACATTACAAAATTATATATACCATTCAAAAAGTTAAAAATTTAAATAAAAAACTCTTGCTATTTTTAAAAATACTATAAATATTTTATTTAATACTCAAAGTTTGCTTATTATTATAGAGATAAATTTAAACTCATAAAGAATTTTGAATAATTCTTTTTTATCTTCATCCTTCTTCTTTTTTTTAGTTTTTAGAGAGAATGATAGGATATATCTAAAAAAAATTAAAATAAATTTTTTAATTGTATTATTAAATTATAAATACTATTCAAAATTTTAAAACTTTAACTAAAATGCTCTTGATATTTAAAAAAAAATACTATAAATATTTTATTTTATACTCGGAATTTGCTTACTCTCATAGAGATAAATTTAAACCCATAGAGGATATTTTGGATATGTTTTTTATCTTCACTCTTTTTTAGTTTTTGAGAGGATAATCGGATACATCTGAAAAAAAAAATTAAAATTAAAACACACTCTTTTGAGGTATTATAAATTTATATTACCACTCAAAATTTTAAAAATTTAACTATAACTCTTTTGATATATTTTGAGTATAAAATAAATATTTTATTTTATATTCAAAATTTGCTTACTATCATAGATATAAATTTTAGACCATAAAGAATATTTTTGATAATTTTTTTTAATCTTCATTTTTTTACATTTTTTTTAAAATTTGATATAAAAAAAAGTAGAAAGAAAGATTAAGGTAAAAAAAAAAAAAAAAAAAAACACACACACACACACACACAAAGTTGGAATGTATCGCAATCCCATAGCATTAATGATACAGTTTTTAGTCCGAATAATTAATAAAATGACATAATTAAGTCAGAAACCAAATATGAAAAAACAAAATTAAGAGAAAAGAAGTGAAAAAAACACGTTAAAGATAAAAAGAAAACGTAGAGAGATTCCAACAACCATTAACTCAATAATAAATAAGCCAAAGCTAAAATGAATAAAAGATGAAGAAATTATACGCAAAAACATTTAATCATAATTCTTCAAAGTTGGTTAGCATCTCCTAAAGTGTATCAATTGTTAAAAGGAAATGTCAACACTTCAGAATTTGCTTTTATGTTGCAATACTTTAAAAGTTGATTGTTACGTGTCAATTAGAAAAGAATTGAGTTTTAGTGTCCGAAAAATTGCTAAAAAATATACTGACCATTAAATTGATTGGATTTGCTAACTTTGATAGACTCAACAAACATTAATTGCTAAAATATAGTCTATAGTTCAAATCAAAGCAGTATTGTAAGTTAAATACATGTGCCGTCCACTTTATCCTGATTTGTTCAAGAAATTTTTTTTATTGACTTAAAAAGACCATGCTCAACTTCCACTACCGAAGACTTTGTCAATAGCATGACAGATTTTGACAATTGTTTTAATTATTTACTTATAACTTTTAGATGTTATTTGATAACGAGGAATATAACGATGAAAATAGAAATGAGAATGAAAGTTTTATTTTGATGTTGTAGCTATTTGATTAAAAAGATTAAAGTGGAAATGAGAATGAAAATTTACATACAACTTCATTCTCATATAAAATGTAGGAATAAAAAATAAGGAATGAGAATGAATTTTTTTTTCAAAATAATAATATATCTATTTATTATCTATTAATTACTTTTACCACCACTATCACTATCACTACCACTCGTCACCACCACCATTACCATCACAACCACCACCATCGTCGTAATCACCACTACCACCACTATCATCTTTATTATTTTTACAACCATTATAGTATAATAAAATTATTTTTTAATTATTATTTTTATTTATATAAAAAAATCAGATATTAAAAAATTTAAATTGCATTCCGATTCATCATTAGTATTCCAAACACATAATGATAATACAAATATCATTCCGATTCTTTAATTTTCGTTCCGATTTTTGCATTCTCATTTTCACAATTATATTACTAATTACCGAACAACATCTTAATTCTTCGTCCTAGAAGACTTTGGGGTCAATTCATAATTGACGTCAAGTACCCTATCGAGTTTTATAACGAAACTGAATCTTTAAATATGGTGTTTAGATGACACGCAGTGCACTTGCACAATTACAAAAAGGTCAAATGCAGTTTTTTTTTTGTGAAAAAAAATTGATGTGGACTGACGAGGGATCACACTATTTTTAAAAATTGATGTGGATACGAATGTGTGTATCTATAACTCGGATTTGATAAACTAATTCGTAGTAATTGTTATTTGCTGCCAATTTTCAGACGCTTTAGCCTGCAAAATGTTTTTTAAATGTCATTTGGCCTGAGCTGATGAATCTAAAGCCTCGAATGATATGGAGGTCAAGTCCAAACCCACCCGAGCAGTAGCCACTAACCACTATCTACTAGCCTACTAGTCAATAGTGGTGCCCCTTTAGGTCAAACGAGCATATATCCCGCACGTTATCGTGGGATGAGCTATACAATATTCTTATATGTTTATTCGTATAAAATAAAAAATATAAAAATAATTATTTAAAAAGATCACATGGAAAAAAAAAAATCAAAGTGAGTTATACAACATTCTTATGTGTTCATTTATATAAAATAAAAAATTTAAAAGGATCACACGAAATTTTTTTAAAAAAGAACTAAAACATATATTTCATATTTTGTTGCGAGGTTAGCTAAACGAAAAGTCCGTAAAGCCGAGTAATATAATGTTGCTAATTAGATATTGTTTGATATAAACATGTATTTTATTAGAAATATATATAGTAACTCGTAATTAAAATAATGATGTGGTAGTTTTTTAAATTTTAAATGATTAATTTTATCATACATTTTTTATCCGTAATTTATTAATAAGATAGAGAGACCACCCAAAACAAAAAGATAAAAAAGTTTTGTCAAATCGAGAATTTGACAAAACAATAGAGATAAATTTACACGATAAAAATTAAATGATCAAAACAAAGTAAAGATCATAATTCACTAAAAGCCAAAAAAAAAAAATATAAAGAATAAGACTGTGAATGGTTTTTCTAAAAGTTAAGAAAAAAATATTTATTATATGGATAAAAATCAAATATAATAAAATTTAAATGAGTAAAATAATAAAAGGTTACAAAACGAGGAGTAAAATTAAAATAAAATTCGCTAAAAGCCAAAAGAAGAGCTTAAAAAAATGTCTGGAAGAGAAAAAAAAACTAATTTATTATAGGGACAAAAATCAAATATAATAAAATTTTAATGATCAAAATTAAAAAATTTTAAAATAAAATTTTAATATTTATTATAGAGAAAAAAATCAAATATAATAAAAATTTTATAACCAAAATAAAAAAGTTACAAAATAGGGGCTAAAATAAAAATAAAATTCACTAAAAATCAAAAGAGAGGCTTAAAAAATGGAGCAAGAGGAAAAAAAACTAATTTATTATAGAAATAAAATCAAATATAATATGATCAAAATTAAAAAAGATTACAAAATAGGGATTAAAATGTAAAATTTATTAAAGCCAAAAGAGAGACTTAAAAAAATGCAATAAGGGAAAGGGAGAGGGACAAAAAAAAGCGCAAAACGTGAACAGAAAATAAATTGTTAAAGCCAAAAGAGGGGCTTAAAAAAATGCAGTAAGAGAAAGGGAGGTAAAAAAAAAAAAAAAAGGGCAAAGTGCTACAGTACTTTTTCATTTTGGTTTAGTATATCTTGTAATAGCTCAATGAAAATATCCACTTGTTAAAAGCCAGGGGCTAGTTTTCTCCGTGAACTTTAAATTATGACTAGTTCCCTCCAACAGTTTATCTTTTTTTTATTTTTAAGGATATCTTGCAGCTGGAAACCTAGAAAACAGCCTTGATTGAAAGAAAGGAATTGATTGAAAGACAGTTGCTTCGACCAGTTGTTGTCATAGGAAATTCCCTTGCAACCTTTCATTTCCTAATTCCTTTTTACACGACTTAGGCATCTAGCAGAGGTTACCTTTCCGTCGACAGAATTTGCATGCCACAAGCAAAGCATGACCAACGGCCATGGATTGGTAAATCAAAAGAGATGATCAGTCCCGATGCCAGCTTATTAGTGAAACAAACGGCGCTTAACAAAGACTCCAGGCCAGGTTCTTTAGGTAACATTCCGGTGTTGCATTTAAATTCCTAGTACCATGATCAAATGAACTTCACTTCCAGCCTCAGTTGCTGTTCAAGTTACGGCACCTTTATTTCTAATAGAAATGTTTATATGACCCTTGTAAAACAAGATTTAAGGATCAGATGCTAACATATCTGCGGATACTTCTCTCACAATGAAGCAGGATCTACTAACCAGCTCTGCAATCGGCATCAATAACCGCACCTTGCACCCTCTTGATGTGAAAGTCGAGAAAGGAACAATGCTAAACAGGTCTGTCAGTTAAATATATTGAAACACATCAAACAATATATCATCAACAGTATTAACACAAAAGGTCCAAAGGTTGATCAAGAAAAGAAAACGAAAGCAGCAAGCTAATCAGCTAGGCATAAAACAAGTTGGATTGAAGATTACACTAATGAGAAATAATATCATGTCAGAACTGACTCATAATTTTATGACATAACAAGAAGTGCAAATGTCAGTTAAGGATAAGAAAAAACTCCTACAACTTGAAGTTAATGTGTACATGGGAATCACTAGTCATACACCAAAGCATGACTAGTCTCACCTTCTCTAGTTTATAGTAAATGCTAGTCTGCTTGCCAGCAAATTCAACACTAACAATGAACTACAGCTTTCTATACTAACGGCACAAACAGTGCATTTACGCACAAGTGAAATGAAAACATAAAAGACAGTCATGTTACATGTTTTCAGACTTCAACCTCTTGACCAGTAGACTGGGTTTCATCTTCACACGTTTCAGGTTTCAACCTCTTGACCAGTGGACTGGGTTTCATCTTTCTCAGTTTCACCTTCTCCATCTTCATCATCAGCCTCGTCTGCTAATTTGGTGAGCTCATCTTGGATCATAAGCTTTATAGATGACTTTCTTGGTGCGAGATCCATATCAAATCGTCGAGCTGCAAAGTGGCCAGATTACTTTCAGGCAACCACAAATAAATTACAATTATACAAACACGATCTCTCTCAATTACAAAAGCAAAATTTAAGACAAAAGTTGCTATTACTTTTGATAGCTACATACTTTCAGGCAACCACAAATAAATTACAGTTATACAAGCACAATCTCTCTAAATTACAAAAGCAAAATTTAAGACAAAAGTTGCTGTTTCTTTAGATAGCCAGTACATCTTAAGAAATCTCATCATCCATACAAAGACCTTGACTGCCGTATTGTCAATCAAGATGTGGATCTTTCTTGCATATGGAACACAAGGATCACTTTACTTGTAAGATAAACTACAGAAAAAATTGCATATCATCCAGTCAATTTAAGGTTGAAGTAGGCATGGTTGGTCACAACTAGAAGAAACAGACAGAAGGGCTTGCATATTTATATAATCTGAGATGGCCAGTACTTTACAGGCCATGTCAGTTTTTCATATGATTGTTTGTCATGGCATTTTCCCAGATAAGAAGAACCACAATTTACTCAAACCAACAAAAGTTAAAAAAAAAAAAAAAAAAAATGCATACCAAGTAACTTGAGAATGTCAGTGAATGTAGCCTGCAAATAACAATTATAGATTAGATAAGGACAAAAATTATTAGATACTGAAATAAAGAGATGAAGAAAATGACATTGGAATTCGAACAGATTCCTTTGCACAAAATGATGGCCACCAAGTTTGATTGCTAAGATCTAACTGGTAAAAACGATAACTGCAATAGCTAGAGTTCTTTATATTGAATAAGTGAGCAATTTTTCAAAACAGAAGAATGTTATCAGTCACTGCTCCATTTTACCAGCCTTATTTCATCTCAATGATTTGCAGATTCTTTTGAGTGCCAAATATTTAAAATTACAGAGAAAAAAAATATAATTGTACAATATTAAGAGAGAGCATACACATGGAATCCCAAGTTATGTAATCGATGATGTTAAAGCAAAAGGAGAATGGGAAGCCCAGACAAAAAATATCATTTCATCTTCAGAAGAAATAATCAAGTAATCCCATTCTAAGGCTCTTGTGGCTAATTTAGGAGCAGCTTATAACACCTTGCTTTAAGCAATTATGTAATCAGGAGGGCCACATAATTATCACAGCAATGCAATGTACCCAGCAAACTGCATTTAGGGCCTTTCTGATTGCTTATTAGCCTGTTACCACCAAAGGTGGCAATGATATCAGATCTTACCGTATTGAAATCCACCTGCTTAAGAATTTCGCATATTGCATCTATAAGCTCATCATCACTTGGAGTCAATTTATCCTGTTTAACTTTAGCCTTTTCCTTCCCTTTTCCACCTTTTTTCCCTTAACAAGTAAAGAAAAAGAATTTTCATGTCAGTGAAAAGGAAAACAATACCACTCAATTTCAAATACAAGAATACAATAGTCATGATTAAATTCAAAGAAACTTCTATAATGAATTCAAATAGTAAATTATAGCATTTTTAGATGTTATCGCCCTCTGACCAAATAAACAGCAGCAATCCATTTCCAAATGAGAAGAATTAACAAACAAAATCATGGTTCTAAAAAACAGCATTTACATTATCGGTTATTTAATGGATTTTTTACTATCCATTACCGTTGCCATTTCACAAGAATAACAGCTTTGTAGCTGTTAGTTTCCATTACTTTCCCTTGGTCACGTTATTTCTATTTTTACTTCTTTCCTTTACTCTTTCTCTTTTTTTTTCATTTACTTCCTCTTTTCATCTTTCACAACTTCTACTTACCCACACCAAATTCTTCAAAATTTTCATTATTTTGGACCTAAATAAAACATAAAATATTCATTGCTTATTTTTAAAAGTGAATGCCTAACTTTAAGTCTGGATGGTTGATGTACCATCCTAACTCTTTTACATTATTTACAAAACAATTATTGGAAAAATCCAATTATCAATATGAAAGAAAAGTATATGATATGGTAGTAGTTTACTGCACATAGAAATTAGAAGAGTACATAAAAGTATTTCTTTTCATAAATATCCTTGAATGATTCTTTCTTTCAAAAAAAATCATCTATCGGATTGATGAATCGTCATCAACATTCACAATTCATATGGTTATTAAGACTTAGAAAGAATAACAAAATGTAGTCCATGAATTTACCTAAATCGGGCTATGGACCGATAAAAAGATTTTGATCTTCAAAACCTATTAGAAACTAAAGGGGGCAGTGTACAAGAAATCAAATCATACATAAATGATACAAGTTTCAAAGGCCTAAAAATGCCACGAGGTGGTGCAAATATTTATTAGTTATACAATTTTATGGTATTGATTTGTTAGCTTACTGCATATCTTAGTGACCTTGTTATTAATTTTTAAACAACTTTAAAAAGTTTTGGTTAGTATTTTATGTTTTGCTAATATATTGAAATATATAATCAGGTGACCTTCGATTTTTTTGGTATTTTGTAACACCAGTATCAGACATGGATCTTGTTATTACTAAACTAATTTTTTCAATTTTAAGGAGATGAATATTTTCTTGCACACAACTTTAAGTTGGTAATGTAGTATTGCACTATTATAATATGTAGTTAAACCTTTAGAAGTGCTGCTATTATGCTTATTTAATAAATCATTAAAAAGATGTTGGCTACTATAAAATATCTAAGATTTGCAACAGCTATAGGCACAACCACTATATTGTGCCTGCAATATCGCAACTGCAATTTAAAACCATAAACAAAACAAAAATGAAAGCTACCTATTTTCTCCTTGGAGACTGATTTCTTTGGAGGTGAGGGCTTCTCCTTTGATACTTTTTCAGTTTTCTTCTTACTTGAGGAAACCTTCGGACTTGCATCACTATCCTCATCAGAATGAGTGTGTTTTGATGAAGATTTTTTAGGTGTTCTTTTCGCTGGTGGACTAGACTTATGGGACACCAAGATTCTGGTTTTAGCTTTTCCAGCAGATGCCTTTTTTCTAGATGATGCAGCTGACCTCTTTTTGCGTTTTCCAGTGTCTCCTTCAGATTCTTCTTCAGATTCTTTTTTCTCCTCACTTTCTGAATGTTCTGAGATTTCAGCATCAGATTTATCGAGAGCACCATTTTCATTTTCCTCTTCTACATTTTCTTGTTCCTGTTCGTCTTCTTCTTCTTCATCTTCCTCCTCTTTCCCTTCTTCTGACTCATCTTCAGTATCAGCTGTACTCTTTTTTCTCTTCTCTCTGAATCATCATCAACCTTTCTTCGACTCTGCAAAACAACCCAAAACCTTTTTAAAAGGGGAAATAATATAAACAATAACACTCTGGGTGCACAAAAAGGGAGGAAAACTGTTGTAAAATTCTGCAACTTATCAGATTCATTGATAGGGGTTTTCCTTTTCAGTGAAAGGCTTTCACAAACAGAAATACAAGATTTGCATCACGTTTAGATCCAAAAGGCTAATATGCAACGGTATCATAGAATATGTCAAATGACACCAAGTTTTATGAGGCACCACAGCTGCCCGTAGAGGCACTCAAATTGGATCAGTGATCGATTTCTAGATTCGTCACAGATGGAAAAATATAAGGTACTTCATTGCTTAGTCTGGCTTTCATGGAAGCTTAACAATTTATGGACTCGTTGTAGCACTAGCACTTTTATTTGCAAATCCTTTAAGGTCCTAAGAGCCAACTGGGTGCATATTAGGTAAGCTTGACGCATGCAACATTGACTGAATTAAATACATACTTGTGATGTTAACAAAACAAATTGTACCTTAGCTGAACGTTTGGATAGTGTGCTCCCAGAGGTTGAACTTTTGGACACTCTCTTGCGCTTTTTGCTAGCTTTTTCCTGAAAGCGAAATCAACATCAAAACTCAAATAGATGCCACAGCAAATGAATTGAATTTGCAACACCTGAACTTAATAGGGAGAGAGAGAGGTCAACAAACCTTCTCTTTTTCAGCAAGTAAATCACTAGTTGTAGCATGGGGGGCCACCAAAAAGTCTATCAGCTTCATAACAATATCTTCCTGTGTGCACAATGTAAGACCATTGTAGTAGCATATTTAACTGAACTTCACAGAAAGAAATAAGTCCTGACATTTAGGATAGGCCATTGGTGCAAGAGAGAGAAACTACAGTGGTGTTTATGAAATCCACACCAATGCATCCCTCAAACAGTAGGATTTGTCTGTTCACCCATAATGCTAGATTGTGGGTGTGTGCTCATTTGCATAAAGACAGAAGCAGTGTTGATTAGAATACCTAGAATTCACTTGGCTAAACCATGATTTTCTAATTAATGGCAATTACATGGTTAATCAAATTACATATTAACAAAATTATATGGTTAATAAAGTTAGAAATAACTTGGAAAAATCCCTTCCCCTTGTACAGCACCAAGGAAGCAGTGTAAGCCTCTGAAATAACTGATTTCCTCACAAATGCTGGATAACTATAAAAGGGTAATAATTTTCTGAGCTAGAGAGAAGATCAGAAAACATGGGGCGAAAAACTCAATCCTTGGACCACATGAGCTGAAACCTAACACACAACATTAGTTGATCAACTCACCTTCTTTGTAGTAACCTTGGTAATTGGTATGTCAAGCACATCACAAAATTCCAACAACTTCTCTTTATTACACTTATCAAATTTTTCTTTCACTTTACTCTTTTGTTTCTCCTGTAATAATTAAAGAGGAAAATAATGATCATTTTTCAGAAGACTAACATTGTGCATGAAACCAAGCAATTAATAACAAAAAGATAAACTAAAGTCTTAAAACCTTATAACGTTCTACATCTAAAATCAGTATTTGTACAGATGAAGAAAACTCAACTTCATCACAAAGTGATATTTCTCACCTCATTTTGATGCCACACATAACCAGAGAACCGGGATATGTTACTCTTGATCTGCAATGCCTGCAAAAACAAGGAACTGAAATTGCATAAAGCAAAGATTGGATTACAATAAACCCTGGTCATTCTCACAAACTATGCATAAGAACCCAGTTTATTTTTCTGTTCAACATCCTGAATATCAATTACAAGAGAAAACATTAGAAAGACAAGAATATAACAAGAGCAAATAAGAAAGTAAACAGCAATTGGATTACCTTTCCTCTCCTTCCAAAGAGAATTGTATGAAGCAGTTTGAATGTATCATCAGTCTTCCTTCTTGATAGCTTGAATGCCACTGCAGAGAAAACATTTTCAGAGGTCATTTACATCACCCATTGCTCTGAATGGATATGTTCAATACACTCATTATAAAAAGGAAGATCTATGAAAGACATATTCCCTTATTCTTCAACCGTCCTCATACAGTAACAACTAATTCAGATAAGGCAAAATAGATACATACAATACAACAGTTGGACAAGTTTTGGGAAAATTTAACAAGGCCAATAAACCAAGAGGGATGGTGCATGGGAAAGTAAAAGACGGCAAAAGAATGTACTAAAATAGACGCATTCCCTTATTCTTCAACCACCCTAAAAATAAAAAATAAAAGAAGTCGGGTTGCAACTTTTGGTGAACTGGATTGCAAAGGGACTACACAATCCAGAACAGCATGCGAGGGGGATGGCAGCCATCCTGTTAACTCTGGTTTACTCATTTAATTTCGAATTTTAGGAAGTATAAGACAACGAAAATAAAAAATGAAGAACTTCTGAATATTACAATGGAAAGGCCAACAATCCAACTAGGAAGAACCCCAAATAAAAAATGAATTACATTTGTGCAATACAATCAACAATCAACATTGCACAGTAAATACTTACTAGATCATCAGTTTTCACTTTAGCTATTTGTTGGCCAAAACCTCAAGATTTAGGAAAAGACAACCTTTTAAAAGCTATATCCCAGTAAAGTCCACAAACACTTAAAACTGTTCTAAACTACACTTATAAGACACATAAAATCTGATACTACATCAATCCGTCAATTGAATTGAATCATATGTCAGCAACAAAATCCCAAATTATTGAGCAGTAATGAAATTTTCCATTCTTAACCCCCCAGTCCCACCATCCAGGCATCATATATAATAAAACACCTCTATACTTTACATATAGCTGCCCCAACAACAAATGGAGTACAAGCAAAAGCAAGAAATTGTCTGACAGCATCAAAATTGAAATTCAAGATAGGACAAAATTACGTTATGAACCATACCATTAGGTATATCTTTCAGCGGGATACCTCGGCCCTGCATTTTTCAGCATAAACCAAGAATAAATTAAATCCCCAAATGACATACAAACAAAATTTGCATACTGAAAATGCAATGAAAAACATACCTTTTCAATCTGGAATTCTTTGGCAGCATCTTTGTCAATAGTTGCCACCAGCCTTTCAACCGATTTCCGTTCACGCTGCGGCCTATCAAAAGCAGGAGTCCTCTGCTCTGGCTTCTTCTTCTTTTCTTCCACTATCTTCTTCTTCCTTTCAGATTTCTTCCCACCGCTCTTCCCTTTCCCATGTTGCTTTGATTGTTTCCCTTCCTCCTCCTCCTCCTCCTTTTCTTCTTCCTCCTTAGATCCATCAACCTTCTCCTCCACCTCTTCTTCGGTGTTTTCTTCCTCAACCTTCTCTTCTTCCTCCTTGGACCCATCCACCTTCTCCTCCTCCTCCTCTTCTTTGGCTTCCTTCTCCTTCTCTTCCATTTCTTCATCTATTTTGGGTTTAGTGTCTTCTTCCATTGCTTCAGTTCTTCCTTCTTCTTCCTCATCTTCTTTCTCTTTGCTTTCCTTTTCTTCAGTCACCTTGGGGTCTTCATCCATCTTATTAGTCTCAGCTTTCTCGCTGTCATTTTTATTTTCTTCTATTTCTTTTATTCCATTATTTTCCTCTCTTTTTTCAGCCATAACTTCATTGGATTTCTCTTTCTCAGGTGCATTAGTCCCATTTGCTGCTACCTCTGCAACTTTGGTTTCTTTTTCTTCCTTGCCCATTTGTTTTAGCGTGGACAACAAAAGGCTGTGTGAAGGGCAAAAGAAAGAAACACATTCAACAAGAAGGTTACAATTAGCAAGTAAGACATGAAGGGGGGGGGAAGTTCAAATGCAAATAAGGAAAGGGATATCTAAACAAGTATCATCATGTAGCCCAAACGCATGATTAAACTCCCATTTTAAGAAGTACCCAAAATGTTCAATTGAATGAAGAAAAACGGCAACTTTTATCTAAAGGAAATAAGTAATAGTGACCATAAATTTAGAGAAAACACAAGATTTACAAAAACAAACCAAAATCCTGTGTTCGCTAGCAGAAAAACCACATTAAACCTAAAGAATAATTTTTTAAAAAAAAGATAAAAATTCAGAATTTTTAAATCTATTTGCCGTACTGTTTTAAAAAAAGGAAATTTAAATTAAGCCAAAGTTACTTGCTTAAGCTCAATTAAGTAACAATTCCAAAACTCAAGCACCCAAGAAGGCCCAGTCTTAAAAAGAAAAAACCCTAAATTGAAAAATAAAAAATTTTCCCTTCATATCGAGCACTTTCACAGCAACCAAACACAAAAAGCAAAGTCAATTACATGTCACAAAGAAACCCAAAAATCAAGAGTCAAACTGCACCAAAACAAACACTTCAAAAAAAAAAAAAAAAAAAAAAAACACACACACTCATACAGCAACAAAATACAAATTTAACCACAATTCTACATAACAAACATGAAATTGAAGAATAATTAAGACAAAGAAAAAAACAATTATGAAAATAGACACTTACAGTGAATTATTACTCTAATTTGTTGATTTGATACTGAGCTTAAAAAAGCACTAAACTCCACTCTCTGACTTTAAACATTTTTTTTTCTTTTTTCTTTTTTTAGAGCTTCGATTTTTAGTTACAAAGTGGGTGTCTTTTTTTTTATAGCCCGGACTCGAAATCCGGATTTAAAATGCAGTTGAATGCCACCTAGGATGAAACTGTCAGATGTGGGCAGATTGGGGAAGGATGGACGGCTCTGATTTTTTTATTTGAGTATCCTGGGATTTACGGTCCTGATTTGATATTCGCCCGCTCAGGATTGGCATCTTGTGTTGATGGGGTCCAATCAAAAAATACTGCGGCAAAAAAGCGCATTTGTCTTCGAGTGACGGTGACTAATACAGGCACTCCTCTGGAGAGTACAGTCTCATCAACGAATACATAAATTGATTTCTTTAAAAACACAAATATGCTACGTAAGTATTGTATAATCTTTATAAGTGACGCCGAAGCTAGGATTTCTGGTGGTTAAAAAACTTTCATTGAAACAAGAAATATAATAATCATTTTTTATTATTATGTTTGGATCAAGAATATTCATAAAATTAAGTTTAAATTCAAAATAAACTATGTTCTCGTTAAAGTTAATTAAAGTTAAATACATCAGTTTGAGAAGAACTATTCGAAAATATATTCTACATTTATCATCTTATACTTTTAATTGATATTTCATAACAACTTCGTAATGGTTGGACTATAAAAATATTTCATGGATTAAATTATTAACTCTCTTTTAAATTAAATTGTTTATCTTTTTTCTAATATATAGAGATGACAACAACTTAAGATACATATAATGGGCTCTCTTCATATTTTTCTTATAAAGAACCTAGTTAGTAATTATTTAACTACAATTAATCATAATAAATAGATAAAACTAGTTATTTGCTCACGCTACGCGGCGGATTCGAGTAGAAAATCATTTTAAAATTTTTTAATTATAATTTTTTATTTAATTATTTTTTAATAAATTTTTTTGTTTAAAAAACATAAATTATTCTTCTTTATGGATTGATTTTAAAATAAAAAATATAATAAATTTAACTAAAATATTAATCAAGAATTAAAAAATGTTAAAAATATAATTTTCATAATGTTATTGTATTTCAAAAAAATAAAATTATAATTAATGGATAGACTTTCACAAAAATTAACAAATGAAAAAAAAATAAATTGATGGAAAAAACCAAAGAAAAAAAGGCATGTGTAGTGTATCGGTTAGGGATTAGAATTTTTATTTTAAAATTTTAGAAACCAAAATGAAACAATATGAAAATTAAAAAAAAATAAATAAATAAAAGAATCTAGATTGATGGAAAAAAGCAAAGAAAAAAAAAGAAAAAGAAAAAGAAAAAGCATGTATAGTGAAACAACTTGAAATTAATTTTTTTAATTTTTTTATAAATTTTCTGTTTAAAAAACATAAATCATTTTTCTTTATGAATTGATTTTAAAATAAAAAATATAATAATTTTAACTAAAATATTAATCAAGAATTAAAAAAACTTTAAAAATATAATTTTCATAATATTGTATTCCAAAAAATAAAGTTATAACTAATAGATAGACTTTTACAAAAATTAACAAATGAAAAAAAAAGAACATAAATTGATGGAAAAAAAAAACATGTGTAATGCATTAGTTAGAGGATTAAAATTTTTATCCTAAAAAGTTTAGAAAACAAAATGAAATAACCTAAAATTAATAAATAAATAAATAAAGAACCTAGAATGACGGAAAAAAGCAAAGGAAAAAAAAGATAAGATAAAGCATGTATAATGAAACAACTTAAAAAAAAAAAAAAAAAACAACCTTTGCTACAGAAATGAATAGTGATTTGTAAGCTAAGAAAAAAATATTTACTATAGGGACAAAAATCAAATATAATAAAATTTTAATGACCAAAATATTACAAAACGGGGACTAAAATGTTTATTATAGGGATAAAAATCAAATATAATAAAATTTTAATTATCAAAATAAAAAGAGATTACAAAACAGTGACTAAAATAAAAACAAAAGCCAAAAAAGAGGCTTAGTCGTGGCAAGAGGAAAAAAAAAAGAAACAACTTAAAAAAAAATACTAAAAGCCAAGAAAAAAATATTTATTATAGGGAAAAAAATCAAATATAATAAAATTTTAATGACAAAATAAAAAAAAATTAAAAACAAGGACTAAAATAAAAATAAATGCCAAAATGGAGGCTTAGCCACGCCAAGAGAAAAAAAAATGCTACGGTAATGAATATTGTTATGTGAGGGGATGAACTGTGATTGCTATTGTTCAAACCCTCGCCCCCATCCCCCACACCTTTTAGTTTATAGTAATAATGCAAACTCTAAATAATAATTATATATTAAAAACCTACAATTTTAAATATATAACTTTGAAAATTAATTATTCATAATATATTACTTAAAATTAATATGATAATTTTAAATTATATAAATAATTGACACTTTAAATTAATCTATGTTTCAAATCAAAATTTTTGGACCTTATTTATTATATATTTTGAATTTCTTTAGTTCTTGTCATATATGTGATGTTTAGGTCAATTTTTGATATTATTTTTTTTTATAATTTTAATATGTTTTAGATGTATGTGTCCTTAAGTTATATTTAAAATTTCAAAAAGAAATATGATGTCATTTAGTATTTGTTATTACTTTGTTTTAGTTTACGTCGTGTATTTGATATTTTTTTAGGGATTGTTTTTATTGATTAATAATTTGAGCAATTTTTTCAAATAATTTGCTGATGTGATTTTCATATAAGTTTTTATTATGTTGTTAATGCACATGTTTTCAAGCTATATCTCAATTTTTACTTTTCTTAAAAAAATATTATTTAGTATTTGTTCTACCTTTGTTTAATATGTTTTGCTTACATGATGCTTTGGAATAGATGTGTTGATTGGAAAGTGAGTAGGTTTTAGATGAGATTTTTGCCTTAAGGCCTCACATTAAGTCAACGAGTCTCCTATTATTAGAGATCGATAATGATCCTATGAGAGTCCAATTTTTTTTTTTTTAAATAATAATATGTATGTAAGATCTTTCATCTCGTGACCCTATTTTGATCAATCGGTAGGCCTTAATTCGCTATGATGTTCTTGACATGTCAATCATGTCCGAACTTAATGAAGGATCATGCATCCTATGGAGATGAGGAATAAAAAAAAATTTCTTCTATTTAAAGTTTCCAAGATCATGGTATTGAATCAACTAATCATACATACATGAATTAAAGCATAAGTAAAGAATTATCTCTTGTAACGTAGAATTAAACCTTTACGGAAAAAGAACTACCTAAGCATCTAACCTCTATCGATAATTCACATAGTCCAAGCACCCATACAAAAAGCACGCAAAATTATTACGATGCTAGCTCCACTTTTTTTTTACTTGTTTAGTGTTTTTCCTTTAGAAATCTATCCAGGGATATTTTACGACAACCCTAGAGAGAGAGAAAGAGAGGTGGCGTGTATGAGGAAAAGAGAAACTATTTTTTTTTCTTATTTTTCTCTCTAATCGTGCGCCCTATTTCTTACTTTGCTTTTGTCACACCTCTCATTCTATTTATAAGGAAAGTGGCTTCTTTGTCCTCCAAGGATAAAGAAGACAAGGAAGTGGTGGCAACTTGTCTCATGTGGATTCTAGGTTGTTGCTTCCTTGTCCTCTAAGGATAAGGAAAATAAGGAAGTGGTGGCAACTTGTCCTATGTTGATTCTAGGTTGTTACTTCCTAATCCTTAAAGGATTAAGAGTTATTATACATGTAGACTTTTTGATCTTATCTTTTTAAACCTTGATCTTTATCCTCCCACCAAAATATCTTGTAAGCCTTTTAATAAAACCTATTAGCCCAACCTATTTAGGTCCAATTAATTACTAATTAATTTGGACTATTTAAAAAGATTAGGTTAGATATTTTCAAGGGGCCCACGTTAGGAAACAATTTCTCAAATTACCCATAAACCTAAATTAGGAAACTAATTTCCTTTTTTAAGTCATTTATATCCAAATTTGGAACGGACTTCCAAATTGGGAAACTAATTTCTAAATAGAAAAATTTTTATTTTATAAAACTTTTCATTTTAGAAACCCTTTTTCAAAATAGGAAATTTTCAAAATTGGAAACTTTTTCCATCTTTGCTTCTCTTTTATTATGTGAA